TGCGCGCATCCCAGGTTCCAATTCACATGGTCAGCCCAGAAAACCTGGTAAGTGTGGGCCTCACTTCAAAGAGGCTAGCTGCAAGCTGGAGGGCACCCAGGATACTGTGGGATCTCGAAACCAATTCATTAAGAGAGCCAAGCTGCTTTGCCTGGGGAAGTGTAGACTCCCCGGGGACCACATCGCACTCTTCAAAGAGAAGAGGCCGAGATCAGAGGGGGAATGGAGGAGACCAAAGTGTATGTGTATGTGTTTATGTGTGTGTGTATGTGGAGTGGCCATAGGCTCATGGAGTTTTTTTTTTTTTTTTTTTTTTGAGACGGAGTCTCGCTCTGTCGCCCAGGCTGGAGTGCAGTGGCCGGATCTCAGCTCACTGCAAGCTCCGCCTCCCGGGTTCCCGCCATTCTCCTGCCTCAGCCTCCCGAGTAGCTGGGACTACAGGCGCCCGCCACCTCACCCGGCTAGGTTTTTGTATTTTTTAGTAGAGACGGGGTTTCACTGTGTTAGCCAGGATGGTCTCGATCTCCTGACCTCGTGATCCGCCCGTCTCGGCCTCCCAAAGTGCTGGGATTACAGGCTTGAGCCACCGCGCCCGGCCTTGTTTTTTTTTTTTTAGACAAAGTCTTGCTCTGTTGTCCAGGCTGGAGTGCAGTGGCGCCATCTTGGCTCACTGCAACCTCTACCTCCCAGGTTCAAGTTATTATCCTGCTTCAGCCTCCCAAGTAGCTGGGATTACAGGTGCCCACCACCACAGCTAATTTTTGTATTTTTAGTAGAGACAGGGTTTCATGACGTTGGCCAGGCTGGTCTTGAACTCCTGACTTCATGATCCACCCGCCTCAGCCTTCTAAAGTGTTGGGATTACAGACGTGAGCCACCACACCCAGCCAAACTCATGGATTTTTAGAGCCTAATCGATCTCAAAGGCCAGCCCCCACTGAATGTGCAATAAAGGGAAGTTTTCTGTGTGTATGTTTTTGTATATGAGTGTACATGTTTTTCTAGTTTTTGTGTGATCTGTGTGTGTTCATATACTCACCTACACACACAAACCATCTTAAGGCAGATCACTTTAAGCAGCAAATGACTAGAGAAGTCCCACCAGAGGGTAAAAAATGAACCTATCACGAACCAGCCACCTTCAAGTGCAATATTCCAAACCAGAGACCAACACCTCTTGCCATTCACTGAGACTGCAGGCTTTGTTATCTTGTCTGCCCTCAAAAGTGTTGGTTGACTATGGGATCTATGTAGGAGGCTTGCTGGGGTTGCCCTGCAGCCTCAGGGGCAAAGCCAGGAGCTTGGGGCAGAGGGAGGGCCCCAGGAGGCAGGTTGAGCTCAATGTAGGGTGGCCATTTCTACCACTCAGTCATGGGAAGGCCTGTTCCTGGAGGTAGTGAGCTCTCCATCACGGCAGCGCAGGAGAAGAGGCTGGGATGACCACTTGCTGCCAAGGAGATTGCCGTCCAGGGTGGGCTGTTGAGAGAGACATCTTCTGTCTCTGCCTATTTGCAAATTTCGCCATGCTGGTTCTGAGAGCCCTGAGAATGGGTGATGTGGGGGTGGTGGGTGTAGGGAAGCTGTGTTCACCAAAATGTCCAATTATCCAGGACAGCCTGTGCCCGAAACTCCTGGACATGGAGGCTCATAGGGGAAGCCCTATGTCCTCGGGCTGGTGCTGGTCCCAAATAGGGCATGCACATTCATTTCTCCTGAAGCATTTCCGCTCTGTGGCAGCACTGATCACGTCTGACCATGTGCAAAGAGCTGCCCCTAGGATGGAGTTGTTGACCATGTGAATAAGGGGCCTGAGAGGCCCACTATCACAAGCCTCGGCAGCTAGAGTGTCCACAGGACTCTAAGACCTCCAGGTGTCAGGTGGTGTCTTCTGGACCCATTGTGCAATATTTGATTTAAAGGGTGGAAGAGTTGATGGCCCCAGCCCTGCCGCTGCCTTCCCGAAGTCTAGGATGCAGAGATGAATACCAGGTACCTTCCATGATGAAGTCGCAGGCAACACTTTAGGCGCAACAATAAGGGGGCAGGAACCTGATCTCTGTTATAGCAGCTTAGCTCATAACTGTACTCAGCTACCATGAGGAGTCCAAATAGCCCCTTCAAGGACTCTGTATCATGTGACCTTGTTTGAGTTTCCTCAGACCCCTTATCATTAGCTGATATCTGCTTATGAACTATTTGTTTATTGTCTGTTCCATACTCCCTGCTAAGAACGCAAACTTTACGAAGACAAGGCCTTATTGGTTTTTTTCTTCTTCTTCAATGTAACATTCCTAAAATCCAGAACAGCAATTGCTCATAGTGGGTGCTTCATAAATGTTTGCAGTTGCATAGAGAACAATGATGGTATTGCAGTGAAGGTGGTAATGAGGGGTGGAGAAGGGGATGGGGCCCTTTAGACTTAGCTGCAATGCCATCTGACCTGTTCATGAATTCTCAACACTTTTCTGTCATTCCTTAGGGAGAAGGATGCCAAAAGGGCTCAGACACTAGAGAGCCATGTCCAAGCCCAATGAAGGTGTGAGCTCAAAGCAGAATGAGGTCCATGGCTGCCAACCCCTCCTTCTCCCCATTTCAATCCACAATGGCAGCCAAAATTCTACTTCTTGCCTTGCATAGTTCCTGACATGCAGTGACTCCTCATCAAATATACATGGAATAAAAGAATGAATGAATGGGTGCTGTGGCTGCAAGGACTTCATGGTGAATTTAATTTAACCACATTAGCACTTTATACTCAGGCTTCTAACCTGGTCTTTAAGATTCTGGAATCAAAGGGAGTCAGTTATTGGCCAATTCTCGGATAGTTTACCAAGAAATATTTCCACTACAAAGACATTTAGCTTCTGTGTGTGCCACTACAGGTGTGAAAACGCCTGTGTGTCAGTTTGCATGTATGTGAGAGCATGTACATATGCATTAAGTGTGTGCGTCCTTCTTGCCAAGGTATGTGCGCACACATCTGTGTGTCTGTGACTGTGTGTAGATATTCACATGTGATTAATGACAGCGTATATGTAGAGTGTGCGTGTGTGTGTGTGTGTGTGTGTGTGCGCGCGCATTCTTGGCTGTAGAATCTGAATTTCTGCTAGTACTATTTTCCTGGTACACACCCAATCCTGATCCCCTTTCTTTTCCTTTCTTCTCAGAAATCCATTACTAAAAGGTTTTTTACCCGCCTCCAAGGGGAGGGGGTTGGGGGAAGGAGACGCTAAAATCACAAGGCCTAGATCAAAACACTCAGCAGCTAAATGAATTCGGCAGCATTTTCCCGCATGACTTGGAGGGATAATTTAGTGAGGCCGCCAGCTGGAAGGAAAGGGATTAATTCTGCACTTAGCACAGCTCCGGTGAATAATTCATTACTGGAGACCTTTGTGCCCAGCCCCTGGGCAATTGGGAAACTGTTCTGCCCACCTGCCTGTTGCCTGCCTGGGCCCACTAGTCAGTCCCCTGACAAGGGGCACCTGACGCTCCTTTTAGTCCTAGGATACATATGCCCAGTGGAAGGGGCAGGAGGCAGAGGGAGGTGGGGAGGGGCTGGCAGTGGCCAGTGGCCACAGGCAGACTCTATACCTTGGGAAGAGGCCCCAGAGGTTTGGGCTCCAAACTGGGAAGTTTGTGACCTTTCTCTCCAAGATTCTGCTGCCTCTTTCTTGGGGTTTGTTGCTTCTACCCTTGAGAGGGCAATCCTGAATACCTATAGCAGAGAGTGCCAGTGGGGGGTCTCAGACCCTCTCCAGAGGCCTTGTAAAAGCACTTTCAGGCTGGTACCAGCCCAGATAAACTCCTCATACTCCACACCATAGGATTGCCTGTGTTCTTCATGAGTGAGGTGACAGAGCCAAGAGCTGGTGGATATTTTTCCTGCGTGGGAAGAAGGCAGGAGTGGGTTGGTGCGGACATTAGTCCCTGCAAACACTTTCTGGGTTCATGGTCCTAAACTACCCACATCCCAGCACCACTGAGAGGAAAGGGGGAAAGTCCAGCGGGTGCCTGGCATGTGCACTGCAGCCAAGTGAGCAGGGTCTAAGCTGGGCTGAGACCAGGTGTAGCTAGCTAGAGGGATCGAGGCTCATCCAGCAGGCAGGGCTCAGCCCTGGGTGTCTTCACATTTGGACCAACCCAGCTGTGGCAGACAGAATTCCAAAAACAAGCCTCCAAGATTTTACACCCTCATTCTTGGAACCCGTGAATATGATGACTGATGAACCTGGGATGATGTTTGTTATACGTCACTGTTGACTTTAAGACAGGCAGATGATTCGAGTGGCCTGACCTTGTCATACCAGCCCCTCTAAAAGCACTTCTAAAAGTTTTCTGTGGCTGCTGACAGAAGAGGAAGTCAGAGTTTTGAGGTATGACGGGGACTGGACATGCCTGCTGGCTTAAGATGAACGGGGCCATTGTGAGGGGGCATGCGGGCGTCCTTCAGGAGCTGAGAGCCGCCCCAGCTGACAGCCTGCAAGGAGACCGGGCTGTGAGTCCGCCACTCGGGGAACTGGATTGTGGTGGCTACCTGAATGGACTTGGAAGCGGATTCCTCCCCAGAACCCCCAGAAAGGAATGCGACCCTGCCAACATCTTGATTCCAGCCACCCTGTGTCACAGGACCTACCTATAGAAGTGTCAGCTAATAAATGGGCATGATTTTAAGCTGCTAAGTTGGTTATAAAGCAATAGAAAACTGATATCCTAGCTCACCCTTGCAGAACCTTGATCCCAGTGAGCCAGACTTGGCTTGGGCTTGGTCAGAGGCTGACTCCCAGGTCTGGGTGGCCCTCTGCTCGCAGCTCTCCTCTTCCTAATCTCAGCGTTCTCTCTGTTTTTCTGGAGTCTCAAATCACCCTTAGATGCTTCCATCCAAAGTAGTAGTCCCATTCCCCCGGAAGTCCCTGAACAAAGCCAGCAATTGTGAAGGAAGTTGGATCTCACTAACATGTGCCTGCTGGCCCTGACCCTCCCCTGGCCCACAGCCTTACCTCGGAGGAAAGCAGCTGGAAGGAGAGATCCACTGTGGGGGCCTCACCATTGATAGTTTTCAGGCTGGTGTCCTGGGGAGGAGAAGGGAGCACTCAGACCATGCTGGCCAGGGCAGCTTCCGCCTCTGCCCCACCTACTGTTCTGGAGTTCTCTGGAAGGTGTTACCTGGGGGCTGTACCTAGGAGGGTGGGAGGGAGGTGGGAGCTGGCCTCCTGCTTCTGCAAACCACCTCCACACCATTCCTTCTAAACCCCTCTAGAGACCTGTCTGGCACCACTAGGCTCATCTGACAGAGAGATTCTCATTTGTTGAGGTCTATTATGTCAGGATGGCCAGAAGTATTTTAGGGGAAATGGTGGCATAGAAATAGAGAACGATGGTAACAATATTATTCATTCTTGTTGAGAACTTATTCTAAGTGCTTTCCATGGGTTTTCTCATGAAATCTCACAGCAACGCTATGAAAAAAGTGCTATTGCCGTGTACTCATTTTACAGGCAAGGAAACTGAGGCATTGACACTTTAAGTAGTTTTCCCATGGCCATGTTAGCTGGTATGTGGTGGAACCAGAATTTGAACCCAGACAGTCTGGTTCTAGAGCCTGAGTTCTGAACTCTCTTGTTACACACAGAAATTGTGTACTTGGCATGCTGCTCCTGTTTTAGAGACGAGGACTCTTGTGGTTAAGCAATGTGCCTGAATTTCCACAGTGAGGATGGGGCCAAGACAGGATTTGAACCTGGGTCTGGCTGGCTGAAAGCCTGAGCACTTGTACTGTCTCATAGGGTCTCCCTGTACTTGTCTCCCAAGTTGCTCAGGGGCAATTTCTCTGGCTTGGTTCGTCATAGTCCCAGAGGCAAGACTGGCTTCTGGGGTTTCAGGGAGCTCCTCACTCCTAGACTGGGTGGCTTCCCTGGTGGGTGCCTTGACAGAAGCTCCTAGAGAAGCCAAATTCTCCTATGGAGGTGTGGTGAGGTGGGGCAGGGTGAGGCAGGGTGGGGCCAGGTGGCATGCCAGGGGCCCAGTTCAGGGCAGGGGGCTCACCATGATGGGGAGCCGCTCCACGTGAAGCCCATCCAAGCCTTTCCCTGTCAGCATCTTCTGGTACAAACGGCTCTTTAGCGGCAACACAGAGATGCCCAGGGGCTGGTCGAGGGTCCACGGCTGGCTGCCTTTCACTGTGTGGGAGGGATCAACTGGGGCTCCTGCCAAAGCCCCCACTTCGGCCTCTGCTTTAATACCTGACATCCAGTCCTCCTGTCTCCCACCGCCTGCTTTCCTGCCTCCTGGCCTTTCCCTGCACATACATCCTCTTCTCATCTTTAGGGCTTTGTGAATTCAAAGCTAACTCTAAACATACTCTGTGTGTCTGGGAATTTATATACATCAACCTAGTCTCTGCCCTTTGGGGGCTTCAATCCCACCGTGCAGAAGACTGTGGATCAGCTGGTCTCTGAAGCTCATCTTCCTCTCCCCTCTCTGTGAGTTCTGAGGGCTCCAGCCCTCCCCCATCACTGGTGGGTGCAATAAAACAAAGCTTGAGGCTAAGACCTAGTATGGGACAGGCCCACGTGTCCTGGCCTGTGGACAAGGAATGCAGCCAGCTCTCCTCCGCCTGCACTAGGAAGCTGCCTGGGCACCTGGGAACCATCCATCCCTGTGGGAGGCAGAGGTGGGATGGTCTGAACACCCTTTCATAATACAAATCTCCTGAGGCATGGCTGCCCTGGTGAGGCACCAGGGGTCACGTACTTGAAGCTGAGGAGTAGTACTCCAGCACCAGGGCTGTGTCTTCTGAGAAGTTGGTAGCTCCATCTCGGCCTTGGAAGAGGAAGGACTGATTCCATAGGGGCTGCTCTGGGGGTCCCCCAGGCTTGGACAGCTGGAGGGAGAAGGTAGGAGCAGGTGGTGGGGGCCACAGCTTCTCCCAAATCAAGGCATACTCAGATATTTGGTTGTGTGTATCTATATTTGTCACAAAGTTTCTCCCAGTTATAAAAGCAAGCTGACTGGGCGTGGTGGCTCATGCCTGTAATCCCAGCACTTTGGGAGGCCTAGGCAAGTGGATCACTTGAGGTCAGGAGTTCAAGACCAGCCTGGCCAACATGGCAAAACCCGTCTCTGCTAAAAATACAAAAATTAGCCAGGTGTGGTGGGGGACTCCTGTAATCCCAGCTACCCAAGAGGCTGAGGCAGGAGAACTGCTTGAACCCCGGGGGGTGGAGGTTGCAGCGAGCTGAGATTGTGCCACCGCACTCCAGCCTGGGTGACAGAGGGAAACTCTGTCCCTAAATAAATAAATAAATAAATAACTGCAACACACACGTAATAAATACATTTAGGAAAATACAGAAACATAGGAAGAAGAAAAATACCTCCAGTGTTCCTACGATAAACACAGTTCATAAAACTGTGCTTCTTCCTAGATTTTTTCTGTGTGTACTTTATGTATAATCGCCATTCTAGCATCCTGCCTTTTTCATTTACCAGTAAAACCTAAGCATATCCAAAGTCACAGAAAACTCGTCACCCATGACTTTAGTAACTTCAGGATATTCTGTCATGTCCGAGTGCCCTGATGTCTCCCTTCCCATTTTTCCCTTTAATAACACTGCATTGAACGTTCTCTGCTACATATCTTCATATCGCAAATTACTTCCTTAGTACAATTTAGTACCTAAAATGGAATTGCTGGGTTATAGGACGTGTGTTTTTAAGGACACCTTATTCATTATTGGTAAACTGTTTTCCTAAAGTGTTGCACTCGTGTTCACACCCGTGGCTGGTGGTGTCACAGATGCTAAGTTAGACATGACCTCTGTCTTTGTCACCAGCCCCTCTCTGCCCCACAGAGTTTCCCTGGCCCCTTGCAGAGGCCAAGACAGCTCTGCAGACTACAGAGCCTCCCTGTGCCCACAGTGTGGGCCAGTGGGAACTCGGGGGACTTGATGGCACCCTAGGCCAGCAGTTAGGGCACACACATGGGTATGATTCAAACAATGAAACAAGACAGTATTAACTGTAGCACTGCCCAATAAGAGAGCTATATGAAATGTTCCTGTGGGTGGTCAGAAAAGCCTCCTTGAAGGAAGCAGAACGAGAGAAAGGCTCTGAAAGAAGGTCTGGCTGGGTGAAGAGAGGGATAAAGGTCTTCAGGATGGGAAAACAGCACAAGCAAACATGTGGAGTGGCACTGAGCACATCTTGTGCAGAGGACGCCTGAAATGAGGAGAGGCTCCAGGGGGAAGCCTGGCATCTGCCAAGGCCGGAAGGTGGGAGATGGGAGATGGCCATCAGCCTGTAACTCCCAGCCGGCAGCCCTGCAGGGTCCCAGCACAGCGCGGGGCTATGGGTCATTGCCACAGACCCACCAAGTGACTGCCTTGCCTCTGTTCCCCAGCCAGGGACTGTCAGCAACAGTAGTGGCCGCTCCCACCTCCTGCTGCCCCGCAGGAATCAGTCATTGCTTGAAAAGGTCAGCACAAATGCACTGCGGCTCCAGGAGTTATTGATGCAGGATCATGAAATATCAGCGTAGGTCCACTCCCCCACAGTGGCAGGGTGCTGATGACAGTCACACTAATGGGCCTGGTTTGTCTAGGCTCAGCCTGAGGCTCAGCTGTGTCTGCCCCTGGCCCTGGGGAGATGGGTTGCAATCACTTCAGGACTAGGGTGCCCTAGACACCTGAACAGAGACTGCAGTGATGGGAGCATCCCACTTTTTACGGGAGCTTGGCCAACAGGTCTGGTGAGAGAAGTTGCTTCTGAGTTCTGTGGGGCTTGGGAGTGATCTTTCAAGATTGATCCCCAAACCATGTCCCTCCCAGAGCCGCCCCATTCTCCTGGGTGCAGGAGAGTCCACCTGGCTGGGACTGTCTGCCAGGCATTGGGGCACCTGTGACTCAGTCCCCTGCTGCCCATACCTTGCTACTGCCCTGGAAGAAGGTTATTTAGTAGATGCTAGCTACCCTTTCTGGGACCTACCCATGTGTCTATATGGAGCCTATGAAGCCAGAGGTGGTGAGTGGTTGCCTGCCCAATAAGGAACAGCCCTTTCCCTGAGTAGTTTCCCAGGGCAAGTCACCTAGGAAAGATCCCTTCAGACCTAGGATTGGGGAGGGAGGGTCAGCCTCTCTTGTGTATGTACAGGCAGGAGTGGTGGGAACTCGAAGTTAGAGGAACTCGAAGTTAGAAGACCTGCAGTCTGATGCCAGAGTCCCGGTGAGGGTGCTGTGGCTGACGAGTGTGCAGGGTGGGGGCTGGGAGAGGCAGGCATTGCCTGCAGATGCTAATGGAAAGGGCCACAGCGGTGGTGGAATTACGGAATGTCATTAACCCTCAGCTGTGATCTTCAGAAAAGCCATTAACCCCCAGCCATGGAGGCAGACCTGCCTCCCCTTGGGGACAGAGCCTTCATTCCATGCCCTCCCAACCCCCTGCCTCATTTCCCCTGGGCCCACCCACACCCACCTCTGCCTGCTCTGCCCAGGCATAGTGGCCCCATCAGGAGGAGTAGTTGCTGGGAGCAGATGCTGGGCTGGGGTATCTAGAGAGATAGGACCCCTTGGCTCTGGGCCTGGGTCTGCCTCAAACTTGCCATGTGACCTTCAAGTCCCTTCTGCTCTTTGGGACCTACTTTTCCCCTTATCCAATTGGGATATGCCTCAAACTCCTCCCTTTGAAAGCCTCTTGTGAGGTTAAAGGAGACAATGGATGTTTTGCTATTAAGATGAAAGTTCAACTCCACTGAACTCAGCAAATGTTGACTCTGGAGGGCTTCTCCATGCCAGATACCTGTGGGGTGCTGCTAGAGCCAGACTCTGCCCCCGACCCTGTAGCTCACCGTCTTCCAAGAGGATAGAGGACAGACAGACAGGCAGACAGACAGACAGACACCCGCAAACATGTGGAGTCCTAAGCAAGCTGTGGTTGTGGGAGCTGGGGTGTGTGAGGAGAAAGCCATGACTTCTGACCCCATTCCTCAGGGAGGACCTGAAGGACAAGGGCAGTAGGTAAGGAGAGGAAGGCCATTCCAGGCTGAGAGTGCAATAGAAGTGGAGGCTGGAGGTGGGAGGGGGCAGCATGGGTGTGGAGAACAGCAAGCCGTCCAGTGGGGCTGCAGAATGTCTGTATGAGCTGGAGCCATAAGCTAGGAGGCTGGAGGGCACAGGGCCTGTGGACCTGGCTGAGAGTGGGACTTTGCCTTGTCGTGATAGTGACAAGGGGCCCAGGGGAGGGGCTAGGCAGGGGACACCCTGGCTGCTCCTCAGAGAATGGATGGCAGGGACCTGAGGGGAGGCCAGCACTAAGGCAGGGTCTGTGGGGATGGAAGGGGCCCCAGGAGACAAGCCAACTGTGGGGCTGAGAGAGGAGGAGTTGGTGGTGGGCACACATGGCTTCCCGGAACTCCACTCTAACTCTGTAGGAGACCAGAACCATAGGAGCAGCTTTTTGGGCAATGGGCCCCTTCCAAGGTGCTGGGGCAGGAGTAACTTACACCGCCCACCCCATGTTGGTTCCAGCAGGCTAGACCAGGTGAAGTCCGACCTGCCATCTATCCCTTAACTCACCAGTTCAGGCTTTGCCATCACCAGGCTCTACTGAGGGCCACCTAGCCCACCACCATGCCCCTCCCTGCCTCATCGCCAGGAGATGGCCCTTGGGTCCGGGTGGCCCCACCTCCATAACCTTACACATTAATACCAGCAAGGCAGAGCCACACCCCTCCTCAGTGATTGGCTCAAGGAAGTTCATGTAACCCAATCCCGGCCAATGAGACAGGAAGGAGGTCTGCTGAGGGATGGCTGGGTGAGGTTGGTTTCCAGTTGCTCCTTAAAACCACCTACAAGAAGACGGGATGTGGCTGGGTGCGATGCCTCAGGCCTGTAATCCCAGCACTTTGGGAGACCAAGAGGGGCGGATCACCAGAGGTCGGGAGTTCAAGATTAGCCTGTCTAACATGGTGAAACCCAATCTCTACTAAATATACAAAATTAGCTGGGCGAGGTGGCACTTGCCTGTAATCCCAGCTACTCAGGAGACTGAAGCAGGAGAATTGCTCGAACCCGGGAGGCAAAGGTTGCAGTGTGAGCCAGAATCACGCCACTGCACTCCAGCCTGGGGGACAGAGACTTGGTCTCCAAAAAAAAAAAAAAAAAAAAAGGCTGCCTCTTTTCTGCTGGTCTTTCATTTTATTTGGGTGAGGGGCCCCCATGAGCCATTAGCCAGCTGAAGATGGTAATTTGGGGTATTGGAAAGATCCTGAGACCTTGAGGACGCTTCTGAGCCTGAGCATCCACCAATTCTGGCAGCATTCTATGTCATGAGTTGATGTGGTGTGTGACAATATATATCCTTAGTATTTAAGCCGATCCAAGTTGGGGTTTCTGTTACTTGGAGCCAGATGTGAAAAGGGCAGTGGTGAGGCTGGCCTCAGAGGGGACACTGGCACTAGGGGAGGTACAGCTCTGTGAAGAGTGGAACCCATTTAACTCGGACCTGGACACTTTGCAACGATTATCCTTTGAGTTCTCCTTTCAGATTGGAATCAGTGAGTCTGGAGAAAGGAACAGCTTACCAAAGGTCATGCAGCCTGTAAGTCACAGAGTTGGGGTCAAACCCAGGTCAAACAGTGCTTTGCACGGTGACAATTGGTGAGAAATCATAGCCCTCCAAGATGTCAGAGAGGGCAGGCCCTAGAAATTACCAAGTCCAATCCCACCCCCTCAACTGTAGAGATGAGGCGACTGAAGCTCAAAGGGGACAGAGCAGGGGTCTGTGTGAGGTCTTAGCCCAGGCTGCTGGCTGGTGCCCCTCCAGAAAGGACTCTGCCCAGGCAATCCCCACCCCTCCTTACCACAGCAGCCTGCCCCTGTTCTGTCACTGCTGCACCTGGGCACCTCTGTGCCGGCTGCCAGCAAATTCTCAACTTGGCCCAGCTGCCACGGGGTTGGGTGATGTTCAACAGGTGTCCTGCCATTGCTGGACCGGGTCCCACACATGCAAAAGGCATTGGGAGCAAGTCTGTGTAGTGAGTGGTGCCTCTCCCACCCAGATTAGTTAGGCAGCAAAGGCAGCCAGAGAGAGCCTGGGGGTGGGAGGGGGTGCACTCATTAAAGCAGGCAGCTCCTGGGGCCCCTTGGGATAGCCTGCTGATTGGTTCTTAATTTTCTGGGCAAATGCAGGGCCATGTGTGAGGTAACTCTGGGGAAATCAGGCAAAGGATTGGTTTGGGTTTGAAGCCTCTGTCCCCAGGGTCCCCCTTTGTCCCACTCCTCCCCACCACCATCACTCTACCCCATGTCTGAGCCTTCTTTTAATGTCTTTGCCTTTAAATGAAGCCTGGGCTCCAAAGGGGTGTCTTGTTCTATTTTTGCTATGCCAGACATGAGCATTGGTGGGCAGACAATAGGAGGGACCTCCAAAAATCCCTCTGTCCTCCAAGGCCCCTAGGAATGTTGGGACCATCGTGTAGGGCAAGCTGGCAGTGACACGCAGATGATGAGAAAAGACCAATCTGGCTATTCCCCTGAACTCAGCCATGGTCTGTGCATGCTCCTGCCCCCAGTCTCATACTCAAACACACGGCACTCCTGTCCACCCTGACATAAGTCACAGCCTGCGTGTCCCCACCTCACACTTGTGCTATTGCTGTGCCCAATTGCCCTGCCCTGTATCAACCCTTTCTCTGTTAAAAATTCAAGACTGCCGGCCGGGTGTGGTGGCTCATGCCTGTAATCCCAGCACTTTGGGAGGCCGATGCGTGTGGGTCACAAAGTCAGCAGTTCGAGACCAGCCTGGCCAACATGGTGAACCTTCATCTCTACTAAAAATACAAAAATTAGCTGGGCGTGGTGGCGGGTGCCTGTAATCCCAGCTACTCGGGAGGCTGAGGCAGGAGAATCACTTAAACCTGGGAGGCGGAGGTTGCAGTGAGCCAAGATCACGCCACTGCAGCCTGGGCAGCAAGAGCAAGACTGTCTCAAAAAAAAAAAAAAAAAAAAAAAAAAAAAAAAAGAAAAAGAAAAAAAAGAAAAGAAAAACCAAGACTGCCTTCTCTAATCCAGGCTTTACATCCCTCTCCTCCGATTACATTTTTTTTTTTTTTTTGCTGGGTGCAGTGGCTCATGCCTGTAATCCCAGCCTTTTGGGAGGCCAAAGTGGGTGAATCACCTGAGGTCAGGAGTTCGAGACCAGCCTGGCCAACATGGTGAAACCCCGTCTCTACTAAAAAGATAAAAATTAGCCAGGTATGGTGGCACGTGCCTATAAGCCCAGCTACTCGAGAGGCTGAGACAGGAGAATTGCTTCAACTCGGGAGGCAAAGGTTGCAGTGAGCCGAGATTATGCCACTGCACTCCAGTCTGGGAGATGAGAGCAAAGCTCTGCCTCAAAAAATTGTTTTATTTTATTGTGGTAAAATATACATAGCACGACATTCACCATGGTAGCCATTTTTAAGTGTACAGTTCAGTGATGTTAAGTGCATTCACATTGTTGTGTAACCATCACTACTATCTATTTCCAGGACTTTTCATCACTCAAAACAGAAACTGTGTACTCATGACCTGTAACTCCCCATTCTTCCCCTTCCCCAGCCCCTGTAGCCGTCGTTCTACATTGTGACTCTCAATTTTCCTATTCTAGGTATTCCATATAAGTGGAATTATACATTTGCCCTTTTGTATCTTCTCTCCTCTGATGTGATAGCCCTGACAAGCCCTCCCAGTTTGTTATTAGATTATACATTATCTTGTGTTGATGTTCAACCTTTTTACCCATGTGACTCCCATCTTCACCAGACCAAGAGTTCCTGGAGGGCAGTTTCTCTGCCGCACAGGCGAGTGCAGCCCTGGGTATGCTGCGGAATTCAGTCAACTCTTACTCAATAGTCAAGGGAACTGCTGACCGACTCACTGAGTGAGTGAACAGTGAATGTGTGGGGGAGTTACAGGAAGCTGGAACCACTGGGGAGGAGACATACCTGAGGGCATCCGTTCTGGCTGATGCGAGGCTCGTCAAAGTTCATCACAGATGGGATAGGGAAGGAGAGTGGGGTAATGGGCAGCCCCACAGAGGCCAGGTCCCTGTTGGCCTGGCTGACCCTGGGGAGGCAGGGAGACAGGGTCAATGCTCTGGGCTCTGCACCTGAGCCTGGCAGCCCAGGGCCCCTGCTTTGATTCTGGGTTGATGCCAGAGAAGGGAGTTGCAGGGACCCTGCCGAGTTCGGGCCTGGACCTCATAACAAGTGGGGACCACTGGGCTGGGCGTGCATCAGTCATCTTCCTTCCTCCAACAAGCAAGGTGGCTTCATAGGTCGAAAAAACTCAACAGGAAATAGAGAGAAGTAGGGGAGTCATCTTGGGCCATGAGGGCCAGTTGGAAGTGACCAAGACAGACCCTGACTCCCAGGAGTCGGTGCTGTGGCAGAGAGCACATGTTCATAGGGGAACTCTCCCACTGTGTGGCAAAGTATGAATGTCCTCCTGAGGACTGTGACTCCAACAGACTCAGAAAGAGGTCTAGAGGAGGAGGGGACGAGTTGTGGCTGGGGCCAGGGAGACCTCCAGGATGAGTAGGGAGGGGACTCCGGCAGGACTAAAGGCTGTGAAGTTCCAAGATGGCCTTTGGGGCCAACCACTGGCTGGAGCCTGTGGCCCTGAGCTAGAGCGGGAGGGGGAGTGTGGAGGTGGTGGGTGTGAGGCAGGGAGGCAGGTTGGAGGGGCTGAGGAACCCTGGGCAGGGAATGAGGACCCCTCTTGTTGTCCTCCCCACACTCTCTAGCTGTTAGGCCTGGTATCGGCACTCATCCCCACCACCTGCCCTCCAGCCTGCTCTCAGGAGAGGAATGAGCTGCCCCCTTCCAGGGGCCTGGGCTCTCCCTAGGGAACGAAAGGCCTGGTCTGCTGCAGGAAGCTTACTGGGACCTCAGACCCAGTGGAGAGGTTTGAAGGGCCTTAGAGGCGGAGGGGTTTCCGGAGGTCCCATGGCAGCAATGACAGCCTCGCCCCCTCCTCTGCCCTCTGCCCTCCCCTCCTCGCCCATGCCCACCTGGGCCCCACTCACTTAAATTCCTTGTAGTTGGGAACCACCCGGGCAATCACCACCATGGGGTTGGGGTTGTTGGCCAGGGGCTCGTTGACTCCCCGGAGAAAGATCTGGAGAGGAGAGGAGGCAGGTGAACCCCATGTGGCCTTGGAACCTTCCAGAGATAGCCAGCCAGACTGCCTACCCTCTTTTTCCCCATCCGTGAGTTCATGGCTGCTTCCACACTTGACACCTGCTCCTCCCTGTTCCCTGCCTTACTCGGTTCTTGCTTTGCACCAGGCTGCCCTCCCTCAGGAAGCCTTCTCTGCCTAGCTGAGGCAACTACCCCCGCTTTCTGTCCTGGGATTTACCAATGGATCTCTTACACTAGTTCCTTTGGGGACAAAGGGTGCCATGAGAGTTGGGGCCTGGGAAGGGAGGTTGTGTTCTAACCTCGGCCCCTCCACTGGCTCCTGGGGAGGGGTAGGGCTAGGGGTAGGGTTAGGTGTTCCAGCTCCTTGGTTTCTGTCAGTCAAATGAGGCTCGTCTCAGGGATGAGAGGGGTCTCTGATTAGATCGTTTGTGAGAGAGCACTTTATAAACAAAAGACAAGAAGCCCAGGTCTGGTTTCTCCAGCCATACTGAACTTCCTGAGATCAGCGGCCACAGCCAGGCTCCCCTGGCCTCCCTGGCGCCCATCACCCTGGTGCCTGCTCCCTTGCCTTGCTGGTTTCCCCAGGAAGTACTGGTTTGGAACAGGATCACAGCATCCACATCTCTGGGCTATTCTTTCTTAATCAGATCCCAGTTGTCACTCCCCTAACTGCCCTCGGTTGTTCCCTCCTCAGTCCTCTGTCACCCGCTAAGGGCTTCCCTGCCTCCCAGTTCTGACTGCCCTCTACTCTCCTCTGGGCTTCTATTGGCACAGCTTTCAGAAAGCAGAGCGGGGTTGCAGCAGGAGGCTACAAAGCAGGAGTGGACAGCGTCATCTTGCTCCAACCCTCACTGACCTCCTGCTCAGCCTGGGCCTGGGGACACTGGAAGGCAGACAGGGGAGACAGGGAGTCTGTCCCCATGTGCCTCTGCTGCCAGCCCAAGAGCCCCTGATCTCCTGGACCTTGACCCTAACCCTGTATCCACCAATGGCTCCCACTCTCCCTCAGCCCTCACCCACCTCCCACTCGACTCTCATTCCTCCTGCTCCTCCGATTCCTCTGCCACTTCACTGGCCTCTCCATTTCTGTTCCTTTCCCTAATCCATTCTCTTTCCCAGGCAATTTGACACATGATGGCAAACATGCTTTTGTTAGAAATGAACTGGGTCACGTTATTTTCCTGCCCGACACCCCGCATGCCCCTCTGTCGCGTCTCCCGACAGGCCCCCAGCCCCTATCTTCTTGCTCCACATTCTTTTACTCCTGCCACACGCCCCTCTTATTTCTGCCACAGGGTCTTCGCACATGCTGATCCCTCTGTCCAGACCCCCCGCAGCTCCCACCAACCCATCATGGCTGACTCCTTCTCATCCTGTAGCTTAAACATCACCACCTCTGAGAAACCTCCTGTGACCATTTTTAATAAAGTAGCCCACCCTGTCCTCCCCATCTCAGTTGCTGGATTCCCTTTGCCATAGCACTCATCATAGCCTGTGTTTATTCTCATTTCTTTTCTGTCTATTTGGCTAGATCCCAAGCTCCACATGAGCAGGGACCATGTCTGTCTCATTCACGGTTGTCATCCTAGGTTTTAACAAAAGTGCCTGGCATAGAAAAGAGCTCAGTATCTGCTTGTGGATAAATGAGGATCATATGGGCTGGGCACGATGGTTCACGCCTGTAATCTCAGCACTTTGAGAGGGCGAGGTGGGTAGATCACAAGGTCAGGAGTTCAAGACCAGCCTAGCCAATATGGTGAAACCCCATCTCTACTAAAAATACGAAAATATTAGCTGGGCCTGGTGGCACATGCCTGTAATCCCAGCTACTCAGGAGGCTGAGGCAGAAGAATTGCTTGAACCTAGGAGGTGGAGGTTGCAGTGAGCTGAGGTCGTGCCACTGCACTCTAGCCTGGGTGACAGAGCAAGACTCCATCTCAAAAAAAAAAAAAAAAAGAAAGTGAGGATCATATGAATGAAGGAGAAAAGAGGGGAACAATGGAGGAAAAGGTTTACCCTTCCTGTGTTTATGAGCATGAAAGAAGGAGAGACAGAGAAACAGAAAGACCCAAGAGGAAGAAGGGGAGAAGGCAGGCAGTGGTCTGGGTGAGGGTCTTGGGGGATGTGTGGGATCCTAGTTCTGTGGTGCTGATGGGAAGAGAAGCAGGAAGAGGAAGGGGCTCTGGACACAGCTGACGGACTCTGCCCCAGGCATAGCTTGAGATGGGAAGAGGTCCTCACTGGTCTATTCCAGCTCAGCCATTCACTCCAGCTGGGTCACATTGGCGAGTTCCTGCCTCTGGGCCTGTTTCCCCACTTGTGCATGGAAGGATTGAACCATAATCTCCCCTGAGTTTCTAGCTCTGACCTTCAATGGGAGGAGAGGGCCCAGGAGTGGGGTTTGTTCTGGATCATCTTCCCTTTTCTTCCTCCACACCCTCTTCTCAGGCTCCTCTTTCAATACCCATCTCAGCTGATTGCTCAACCTCTAACCGCACACAGGTGTGAGCTGATGGGCACGTACAATAGTCCTTAGGGCCTTGCAGCTCTCACTGAGGGCTCTGGAGACTGAATTCCTTCACCACATTCAAAGGATTGAATCTCTGATGGTACATTTCACACTTTGGAGGGGTCTGGGGTCGGGGGTCTGGGGCTGAGGGATTTCACTGGAGGCTGGCAGGCCCTACTGCTCACAGGCTCCCCAGCAGATGTAAGGCTGAAAAGGGGGTGGTGGCAGCTAATTTGCATCTGTTCTGTGTGGACTCTGATCAGGTGTGAATGAGACAGCTGCCCAAGTACACCTGCTCATAACAGCCTGGGAAGTAGCAGAAGTTCCTGCTCCTGCCATGCGCTCACCATCAGGGGCAGGCAGCTGCTCTGTGGCCATACCGGTCGCACAGATGGAGAGGGCATGGAGAATGGGCAAGGTGCTGTGGGCCAGAGAAATCCCCCACTCTACCGCCCTACCAGGCAAGTCAGAGGGCTGGGTGGGGTGGGGCAGCCCTAAAGTTCTGCCTGGGTCTTGGGGATGTGGCCCCCTCCCTGTGGGGTGCGGCCTGGGGACCACAAGGCCAGGCTGTTGCCCCTCTTCCTTGTTCTGTGTGTGTGTGAATTGCTGGCTGTCCTCAGGAAAGGGTGTGATAGAAGGTGTCAGGGAGCAGAAGGCGCCTGTAGGTCTGACATGCTGGCATCGGAGGGTTGGCTGTGGGGGAGTAGAAATGTGGGTTAGGAGTTTTGGCTCCCATACCATACTCCCCTTAGGTCTCAGTGTCCCAGGCTGTGAAAGAGGGCAAAAGAATGCTTCCTCCCCTGCCAGGCTCACAGTGCTGGTGGGTGGGAAGTAGTGGGGGTGGGAAGGATAAGAACAGATCAGCCAAGTCTGGGTAGGTGGAAACTCAGAGCTTCGGTCCTGTGGCTCTCACCCTGATCATACTCAGGCTATAGCTGAATTTGAATCTGTCACCCATGGGCAGTTTGAAAGCTGGGGGAATGGGAGAGGGGCCAGGTCCCTGGACCATGTCTGCTTTGAGCATCAAGAGTTCCTCCCAAAGCTGCTAATTGGCCTAGCGGGTGGATGGTGATGGGTCAAGGGTTGGTGGCCAGACCTAAGGTGGGCCCAGCCCTGTCCTAGCTAATGGAAGAGGCTCTGTAAACAGTTGCTGGATGAATAAATGAATGAATGAACTGAATACCTAATCAGTAGACCAGTCAAACTTTAGACACGGTGCTGAAGGAAAGCTCAAGGAGGCCCTAAACTTTTGCTTGGGGGGCTGAGGCACTATCCCAGGAGGGGAAGAATAGAACAGGAAACAGCTGGGCTATGGGCTAAGGGGGAGCACAGGGCTTCTCCTCTGCCCCTAGCATAAGATCTGGGGAGACATAAGGCTCTGGGATGCTCTGGTCCCCACTGCAGCACAGAGATGGTACACGAGGAGCAGTGGTGTGGCTGAGCCCCTGCCCCTCACCTCCAAGGCAGAGAGGGAAGGAGAAGAGGCTTGAGCATCTTCATCCTTGTCATCCCTGCCAAAGGGCTTGTCTTCACAAACTCCTTTTGCTATTTTGGAAAGGCCTGGTTACTTTTTCCATTCTTGATATCTCTGCTCCATACCCTTAGGCCAGCCAGTGGGGGCCAAGGGCAAGGCGTGGGGCCTGCTCAAAGTTTGGCCCCTTCCCACTCCACCCACCACCCCAGAGGGCCCCAGCTCTGGTACCTCCAGAGCTGTGTGGTTGCAGCCGATGTCGCGGGGGATGAAGCTGCTCTTCCGAACGACTGTGGCATACAACTGGGTCTTGGCAGTGGCTTCATCAGCTTTCCCAGACTGGGTGGGCTGGAGACAGGGTGGGGACAGAAGAAACAGAGGAAGGAGAGTGTCTAAGGGGCAGATCCTGGCCATAAATCCAGCCCTCTGCAGACAATCACTTGGCATTGCTCCGCTGGGGCTCCGAGCTGATAATTAAAGCTCATGGTCCCTGTGAGCCCTTCCAAGGAGATCAATATAATAAATCTTCCCTTTTCCATTTGAATATTTCATCACCCTCACAAGGACCACTGCCTGTCTGCTCTCCAGTAAAGATGTGATAACAAGGCCTGGGTTGTAAGTGAACAGACAGCCAGGGGGCCTGGGTGATGCCCCCAGAATTACAGCTCAAGTGCTGAGTCTCCCAGGGTGAGTGGTGCATCTCTTTTACTTCCCTACCTGGCCCATCCTGAAGCCCTGGGATTGGGGTTCATCATGGGGCCTAAGGGAAGGTAAAGCCCCCTGGTGCCATGATTGAAGAATTGCTTAGAAAAAAGTTCAGTGCTGGCCCAGAGGAGGGATGGGGGGAGGGGAACTGACCAAACTGAGCACCTACTGTGTGCCAGGAACCTTGCCTACCATTGCATGGGATCCTCAAAATGACTGTGCCAGCTTTGCTGATGAGGATGGAGGCCTGGGGGTTAAGTGGATTCCCATGGGTATCCAGCTAGGAGGCAGCAAACCTGGGCTAGGACCCCCGACAATCGGGCTTCACATTGTTCTTTACTCTCAACCACTATCAGGGTCTGGAGTGCACAGTGGGGAGGGGAATGTGATGCTTCTGTTCATCTCTGGCTCACTGCCTGGCATATAGTAGGTGCTTCATAAGTCCTTGAGTAATGAGAGTGAATTGTACCCCTTACCCCTTAGCACTAGGAGGGAGGACAGGCAGGGGTCTGGCCTTGGAGGCCCAACCTTGGAGTGAGGAGCCTCAGGCCCCTCAGTTCATGGCTTGGACCCAGTTGCTCACTCCAGGGAATGCTTTATGCTGTGTAACCCCCAACTCTCCTGGGCCTTCTGACCAAGGCAGCATGTGGAGGCAGCTCAGAAGGAACTGACTTGGGAGACAGCATGACCTGGGCTCATCCTCAACTCTGTCGCTCACTTGCTCTGTGACTCAGGAAGAGGAGATTTTTCTCCCCGGGTCCCAGTCCCATGTCTGCAAAATGTAGTTTACCTGGAGGATTAGAGAGGGAGTGTGAAGTGTCTAGCACAGGGCCTCGAAGCAGCAGGTACTCTGTAAATATTGTGTTTCTTTGATTTTTAGATCCACTCTTTTAACATTTATGTAATCAAAATCTATCTTTAATTGGTATATTCATTTAATGTGGCAATTGTCCTATAATAATCAGCTGTCTTACAGAGATGAATTTGGAGAATTCCAAATTCTTGTAGACATCATTCCTGTGTATGTACCAGGAGCTATATTTCCTGAGCCCCACATGGTCCTAGATGTGTCATGCTGTGGGTGGATGTGGAATGTTCAGAGCTTCTCTGAGGGAATGACTGGGGACATTCAAGGTGGTTCCCACCTGCTCTCCCCACACTTTCCCAGGCCTCTGACTCACCTTCACCAGCTCAAAGTGGTAGGGGTGGAGGACACGCAGGTACTTGATGGGGATTTTGTAGGACAACAACTCCTGTTTCTTTCTGTTGTCCACCACCTTGAGGATCACATCTGGAAAGATAAAAAATGAGCACAGCTTCACTTTTAAATGGATCCCTTTCTCTCCCAGCAAGGAGAGACAGTGAGAGGTGCGAGACATTGCTGAGATTAGGAAGCAGGGGCCACACTGAGGAATCAACATGCATGCACGTGTGTGGATCACCCCTGTGCACACAAACCCATAAGCATAGTCTGAGCCTCTGCACAGGGCAAAGCTCCATGCCCGTTGCTGTTAGGACTCCAACATGCAATTTTCTCCCATGGTCTAGAAACTCCCAGGCCAGAGATAGACACACACAGAACTGAGTCCAGTTCCCTGTGGCAACAGACACATGTGTGCACACACTGAGATACGCAGGCAAGCAGGCGTAGCACCTATTTCCAGGAATAAGATTCCTTCCCTTGGACACAAACACTTGTGCCAGCTTTTGAGGCAGGATGGGGAGAGATTATCTCACACATGTTGCAGGTGGGGAAACTGAATTTCAGTAAGAAAAAATGATTTGCTCAAGAAATCCTTTAATACAGCTATCAATAAAAAACTACTACAAGTAAGGGAAAACTAAATACTAAGAATAATGCACCACTTAGTAAACACCCTCCAAATAGACTATATTTTCTCATAAAATAGCATGAATGTTGGTAGAAACTTTTTTTTTTTTGGAGATAGAGTCTCACTTTGTCACCCAGGCTGCAGTGTGGTGGCATGATCTCAGCTCACTGCAACCTCTGCCTTCCAGGTTCAAGCCATTCTTCTGCCTCAGCCTCCCAAGTATCTGGGATTACAGGCGCCCACCACCACGCCCAGCCAATTTTTGTATTTTTAGTAGAGACAAGGTTTTGCCATGTTGGCCAGGCTGGCCTTGAACTCTTGACTTCAAGTGATCCACCTGCCTCAGCCTCCCAAAGTGTTGGGATTACAGGCGTGAGCCACCGCTCCTGGCTGGTATAAACTTTAAGAAGAACACCAATGTCCTATAAATAATCATGACAGTCCTGTTTAGTGAGCAGGAGTGTCATGATTATTTAGTGAGCATCTACTATGTGCCAGGCATGGGGATGGGCACGTCTCAGCCGTGAATCCAACAAATTCTCACCACAACCCCTGAGGTAGGTATCATCATCTCTGTTCTTAAAATATGAACAGTGGAGCTCAGAGTGTTATATAACTAGATCAACATCACACGTCTAAAAAGTAGATGATGGGAAGGGTTGAATTTGGTGACACTTGAGGCATCTTTCTATTCTGGAAATCTATGATTTGAGGAGGAAGAAGAGATGGGGAGGGAGAAAAGGAGGAGAAGGATACAGGAGGGATGGAGACGGAATGAGAGAGATGGGGTAAGAAAGGATACAAAGGATACAAAACAGAGAAGAACAGGAAAGGGAGGATGGGGCGGAGGGGTGTGCCTGAGACACTTGGGGAGCCCCTTGCCCTCTGCGTCTCTTGAGACAAGGGATTTCAGCACCAGGGACAGCAGCTGGCCCTTGAGGGCTCAGCAGGTTCAGTGGGCTCAGCGGCTGGGTCATTTGGAGCTGGATGGGTCATTTGGATGTGGGGGTGGAAAAGGAAGCTGAGAGCTTTACTAAGTGTTCTTTCTCTGTCTTTCCCACAGTGACCCTGAACACTTGCCAAGATATCTCAAGAGCTTGTCACATAGGATACATGCTCAAAGGAAAGAAGGGGGAAAAGGCACCGAAGGTGTTGAGGTTGGCTTGAAGAAGGGAGATTGAGGCAAGGGATATGAAGTCAGCAGACCTGGGTTCTAGTACCAGGACACTAACTTGCTCTGTGACTGTTAGCAAGTAATTTAACCTCTCTGAGCTTCATGTTTCTGCTTTTTAAAATGTTAACACTTTAATAAGAAGCCTTGTCTCTCCCCTTGGGTTGCTGTAGGGAGAAGAGTGTGTTTTCAAGCTGTAACATTCTGTGCAAATGCTCCTTGTGGCTGTCACTATTTTCCTCCTCTTTAAGCATCTGCAGCTCTCCATACACAAAGCCTGCTGTAGGCAGACCTGAGGAAACTCTGCTGGGGGATTCCAGTGCTCCCAGCCAAAGCACCACCAGGAGCTGTGCAGGCTGAAGCCCCTTATGCCAACTCACCATGGACCCAGAATCCAGTTGGGATTTGCCAGGGTTGAAGGAGAGGTGAGTGCCATGCATTTTCTCCACCCGCTATTCCTGGAGCTCTGTGTGGGCAGCCAGCAGATGAGCTGGAATTGGGGGTAATGGACAGCCACTCCTCCCTGCTCCTGTCTCCATGCTACAAACATGCTTCATCAGTTTCCTCTCTGGGCATTGTGCCCTTCCGGCCTCCCACCACTCCCTTTGTGTGGCCAACAAGCTATTTCTGCCACCCGCCTGCTTTGGCCCTGACACAGGGTCTGAAACTCCCCTTTGCTTTTCATTAACACATCCTTGAGCTATCTCCCACCCTTCCCCCTCCTCTTGGCCTGGCCCCCATCTCCCCAACCCCCAACGCAGACATCACCACAGCAACCGGTTCCAACAAGCATCCAGCTACTTCAGTCTGCAATGAGGTGCCTGCCAATATTCCCTGCCTGCCTGTGAGGCCTCCGCACTCTCTTGTCCTTCCTGCAGTTAGTCCTGCCCCTCTCTCTGCTGCACAGATGGGCCCTGGGGTCACTGACCCCATTACATTTTTTCCTCTGTTACCCCAAGTATGTAGAGCCCAGGGCAGGATCCCAGCTCAGGTTCACTCACCACAACCTCTGACTTCCCACCAGCCACATAAATACATGCATGCATACACACACAGCCACACACACAAACTATGCATACTCATGCACTGCAAGACACACACCACCATCCAGATCCATCCAGACACACATACACCACACCATTGCAGCTAGACACACACAAGCACACACACACACATAAGACACACAGACATGCATGTCTACAAGTACAGACACAGCACACACCACATTCACACATGCGCATGAACCAGCATGCAAGCATTCACAAAGACATGCACACACAGGCACGCATGTGCCTCTGCATGAAATCCTAGGTCAATTTTTCCTCCTCTTTTGCATCTTCTTAAAGCATCCCAATAGCTCCACCTATCCCTTTACAGGCAGAAAAGAAAAATTATCTGGTTTGACCTAGAGCTAGCTCCTTCCCCTTTTACGAAGGCTCCGCTTCCTGTTTCCTTTCTCCCCTCCCATAGTCTCCAGTTGGCTTTCTGCTCTGTGTGAGGAGGACAAGTTCTGTCTAGGTCTCTGGTAAGGTTTCAAGGGAGAGAGGCAAAGCCTGTCCTCTCAGGGAGAGACCACCTGCAAGAAGCAAGTCTGAGGTCCTGACTAGATAAGATTAGAGACATCGCCAGGCACCTCTGGTGTGTGCTGGCAGTGCCCGATGCGACACCCCACCATTCGGGCATCAGCCAATCAGTATTCCCATGTGTCCAGCCTGCCATTTCCATTTAGCCCCAGGAGAATGGAAATCCAACAGACCCACAGTGTGAAAGTAAATACAAGGGTGCACATGCATGTGTGTACGTGGGCACCTGGTGGCTCAGGCTGACACCTGGGGAGGACTAGGCAGAAAGAGGGACCCATTCTAGGGACATGTCAAGGATTTTTTTAAAAATCAAGTGGAAGCAGCAAGAACCCTGCAGCTGCAGTAAGAACATGCAATTCCAAGTCCTTGGACCTCGGTCTTGAGCTTAAGCCAGTTAAATTCCCTGAACCTCGATATTCTCTTAAGCAATGGGAGCAGCATTGCACCTCCCGGGAGGTGGTGACTCCAATGAGCGATGTGTGGGGACGTGCTGGGAAGCTGTAATGTCCTGTTTCAGTGAGAGACGGCGGTAATAACAGCCATGAAAATAATAACAACAGTCATAAAAAAGATAAGCTTGCATTGTCTGGAAAATTCATTTATGTGGAACAACTCGTTTTTCGAGCAGGATGGGGAGATGAGGCGTGACAGTATTATGATTTTTTCTGGGTGCTTTTAACTGAGCCCAAGGAGGTGTTCAGGTGGCTACCAGCTGCGGTGAGAGGGAGCCTGCTTCCGCCCTAAGTCCTTGGCTGTGTTCACACCCTGCCTGCACATGCCGGCCCAGCCCCCACCTTACCTTCTTGCCCTGCATCCTCAGCTTGGATCTCCACGTTCACCGTGTCCCCCCAGATAGGGGCTCTGGTGGGCTCTGAGGTCACAGATGTGACTGCCTTGGAGCTCTGGTTGTTCTTTTCCTCAGATGTGCTTTTCCTGGGGAGAGCAGGGGCAGGGTGAGTCAGAGGGAGGGGTCCTGTCTGCTGCTTGTCCCCCTCCCAGGCTCCATTGTCCATAAATCGGAGTGAAAGGTGGACAGCATGTGGAGGGCTCTGTCTCATGCATAGACACTTGTGTCATCCCAGGCCTCTCCCCGGGCTCCTCTGCCAGCCCGGGTGACCACACTCTCTCGCTGACCACTACTGAGGCCTTCACTTAGTCACAGGCCTCTCACTTTGAGAGGCTCAGGGCAGGGGTTGGGGTGGGGGTAGAGGGTAGATGTCTTGCCCGCCTGACTTCCTAGCCCTCACCAGGGAGGGCTCTCCAGCAAGAGCCTGTGTGCGTGGCCTCCCTCTTCTCTCGGTTCTGTTCGGTGGGAGGAAGCCTCTGGGCAGGGTGGCTGTGCGGAGCCCCGCCTGGCTGTCATCTCTTCTTCACCTTATTTCCCTAAACTTCTGGCCCAGATTTCCAGGCTCCGCCCAGCAATCCCAGTTCTAAATGCTTGCAATGAAGCACACACATGCTGCTGCCTTCTGAGATGCCTGCTGTGTTCAGGGTCTTGGGCTGGGCCCCTGGAGCTGGACACCTGGAGCTGGGTCCAGGTCTGGGGGCAGGGGGTGGTGGAAAGGGCTTTCCAGCCCTCAAGCACTCGGATTGTTCAGGACCAGGCTAAGGTGAGAGGTAAGCTTGGGCCCTCTGAACCCCAATGCACCCCACAGATATCGGAGATCCAGAGGAGTCAAATGGCTCAGGGAGAGAGTGAATACTTCTGTAGAAGAGGTTACTAGGCCAGGGCCGTCCCCAGTGCTGCTCCATTAACTGCAGCAGTCATGGGCTGAGGAATCATCCCAGAGATCCTGTAGCAGAGGGAGCCACACCACACACCTTGCAGAGGAAGGCAAGGTGCACAAATCGTACCCCAGGATGGGAGCAACGATGTCTTCCCTCCAGCCCTTGTTCCACCCTCAAGACCCCAAAGGGAGTGTGGGGCAGGCCAATTGGCTCAGATTCCACCTGCTTTGTGCATTAGCAACACCAACATGGTTCTTCCCAGCCCAGCTTGTTCCTCTCCTCCAAGAAGCCCTCTGGAGCCCCCTGGCCCTCATTGCTCCCTCTGCCCTTTAGACTTAAGTGACGCTGTGACCTGGCTCCTTGCCCCCACTCATCACAGCCCTGCTCCTGTGGGTAACCATGCTTGCAGGAGTTCCGTCTCCAAGCTCCAGAGGTCAACTGAGGACTCCTGCTCTGCTTTGACTGAGAGGCAGTGTGACACAGTGATTGTAAGAAGGACCCTGCAGCCAGGCATTTTGGGTTCCAAATTCCAGCTCTACCCTTTGCCAGCTGGGTGACGTTAGGCAAGGTACAGAACCTGTGGTGCCTTATTTTCTTCATTTATAAAACAGAGATGGTAACGGTGCCCAGCCTGCAGGGCTGTTGTGAGAAGGAAACAAATGAATATGTGTAGTGCCTGGCACATTGCTAGGTACCAAGAAAGTGTTAATAATTCTTAGTACCTTAAGTTATTAAAATATAAATATAATTCCTGTTCTTATCCCATAGCACTGGAGAGCTTAGCCTCATTGACCCTCCTGTGACCAGCCCCTTTGCCCTGGCATGATTTTTCCCTATCATGCCCCCAACTCTGGGTCTGCAATTGGGGAATGTCTGGCTGCTCTGGCCAAGGTGTGGAATCCTGGAAAGAGCATAGGCTCGGGAGTGATTCAGAGCTGGGCTTGGAGCCTGTGTTTATCCTGGTGGGATCACCTCCCCTCTGCACCTAAGTTCCTCCTTTTTCAGTAGTACCCTCCTCAGAGAGTGGTTATAAGGACTGGAAAGAAAGCATGTTCTGTTCCCAGCACCCAGAAAGCCCCAGTTCATGTTATTCCCTTCTTTGTGATACAGAACAGCCTGAGTGTTTTCTCAAGAGGACCTGCCTGAGGACAGCATGAAGGGGAAAGAGGTAGGCACTGAGTACAAGCTGGGGTGAGAAGGGGCATCTCCCAGACAGCTGGAGTCCTTCTCAGATGAGTGTCCATCCAGACACATCACCCCTGCAGGCTCTGCAGAATGTACTCCTCACACCCTCAGAGGGGTGTGCGGGAGGCTGCCAGGCTAGAGAGGGAAGGCAGAAGCCTAGCAGGAACGTGGCACTTAGCTTGCTCCCTCCACCCTCAGGTTCCTTTTTCCCTCCGGCTCTGTGACCGTGCTTGACCGAGGGGTGCAATCTAAGCACCTCCTATGACACTCTGTGCCCTGGCTCCCGCTCCTGACAGCTGCCCCAGCAAAGTCAGAGACCTCAGGCTCTCAGCAGCCTCCCTGTGCTACCCAGCCACCTGATCTGCTACTTACAGATATATAGTTAGTGCACAATAAGACCTCACAGCCTCCCTCCTCAGGGACCTGCACAGAAACAGCAGAAAGCCAGAAGCGCCGAGGGTGTGTCAGGAAGAAGTCAGTCCTTCTGCACCCAAATGTCAACCCCAGAACTGGACACAAAACTGCACCTGCACAGGCACATTCCTGGGGCATTCCCAGGAATCTTCATATAGCTCTGTGTGCACAGAGAAGACACAACTGAATGTGTGAAGTCACAGGCAGCATAGTGACAGGATTCAGGATTCAGGTTGGACCCCATGCCAGCCTGTCTTCTACAGTCCTCATATCCTCTCAACCCTCCTGGGAGGGTGGCAGGAGAAATTCCCAGGTGCAAGAAGGTGGGGGAAGGCGATGGGGCAAGGCAAGGGAGCAGGTGCTGACTTTCCTCCAGCATAGAAAGAGTTAAGCAACTATTTTCTCCACCTCCCTGCCCCATCTAATATGAAGGTCATCAGGGCTAGGTGAGTGCAGATAAAGCAACTGGGTGGGAGGAGAAGGCCCCAGGGGAAGAGGGAGGCTTTTAGCAGGTGGAGGGAAGCTGTCAGGGTAATGGCTTTTCCTGGCACAGCTGACTCCTCCGGGCCTTGATGCTATTCTAGAATCTGGAGAGCAATAAGGGTCTCTGATTCCTCACAGAATAGGAGCAGGGGACGAGCTCACTCCCTGCTCCCAGCCCCATTCTGCACCCCGCAGATGGGCACGTGGCTGAGTTCCAGGTTCCTGGGCTCCCTCAGGGCTCCCAATGCAGTCTTCGAGCCCAGGGGACCTCTCCAAGACCTGCCTCCCTAGGCCTCTCCACAGGCTGTCTGCAAGGAGAGACCTCCCTCCCCGTCCCCCCAAAGACCAGCCTTGTTAGCTTGGACCCTCTGGCTCCAGGCATCCAGAGCCAGGAGGAGGTAGTGGGTGGTGCCTGCTGTCTCAGGGTCAGATTTAATCCAGCCACAGCATGGGCAGCCATGCCAGGATAGGACTGGAGTCAGATTTAGAGTGCAGCAGCCCCAAGACCAAGCTGCAAGAAAATGTAAACCCCCCTCAACCTGGCCTACCCTCCAGGCTGCTGGAAGGGTGTGTGTCTTTGACAAACTGCAGTCCCCAGCTAGGCATTCCTGGGGCCCCCACCCTAGCGGAGGATGAGGGGGCTAGGCCCAAGCGCAGCTGTGAGTGGGAGGGAACAAGGACTTTGCTTTCCTTCTGCAAGGTCATGACGAAGGGAAAATGTGTCATCTGGTCCCTGGGGGATGCAGCTGTGAGTGGAAGAAGTGAGCATCGGAAAAGCATGGGATTTGATAGACAGAAAGCAAGAGTGCTCATGAGCTGCTTTCCCCCTCACTCCAGGGGACACACACACACATCCACACATACATACACACACATGCACACACACACACACGCAGATGCATGCACACACACATACATGCACACATGCACATGCACAAGGCTGCCCAGAGAGGTGTGAGTACCATACTGTACCCACTCTTGTTACCCAGCCCTCAAACTGCCTCCAGGGTCTTCTATTCACACCTGAGCCTACCTCCCTCACCTGCCCTGCCTTCTTTTTGGCCTCTGGCTCCCCTCAAAGCCTCAAAGCATGAACAATAGTCAAGGCCTGGCCTCCTCCTGGGCAGAGCTTTAGAAGCTGGGGCACAGGCAGCCTGGCTTGTTTTGAGTGCCAATCCCAGGCCAGCCACCAGGAGAGCAAAGGAAAGGGGAGGGGCCCGACTCAGATCTGCTGTGGCTGCTGGGGTCCCGGCTGGGCAGGCTTGTAAATCCTGAAAGAATAGAGGGATGTTCCCAGAAGCCCCTGGCACTGGGGAAGTCAGGCAGGCACTGGGAATAATGGATAAAGAGCGGACCTTTAAGTGGATGGATGGTGGAATAGGGGTATTGGGCCCCTTTGACCTGGTCCATCACAGCCCATTGCTGGCTCACCTGGGAAACTGAGAGGGAGGTGAGGGAACTGGCAGTCCTGCAGGCCAGCTGTCGAGGTATCATGGTCAGGCCTCAATCTTTCCTGAGAAGGTAGGGCAATTCCCCTCTACCTGCTTCCTCCATGCCAACTTCTGAGCCGGGGAGGCCTGCCTCCCCCATCCTCCAGAAGTCCAAGAGGCTGCCAGACTCCCAGGCCATAGGCTAGGCCTGCCTCCATCCCTGGAAGGCTCTGAAAAACCCAATTACCTCTTCCCAATCCAGGAGCCCAGTCTTATGCAACAGGAGATGGGAGCTGGCCTCTGCCGAGACAATCATCTGAATGGGGTGGCCAAAGGCTGGGTTCCTGTGTTTCCAACCCTAAACCTGGAGGAGGCAGGGCTTAAACAGATAGATGGAGGATCTTTCCACTTGGAGAAGAGAAGATGAGGCTTCAGAGGGGCTGTCTGACTGATGCAAGTGCCGACTTGGGAGCAGGGGTTGGGGCAGTCAGGAGAGGGAGGCTGCGGTTCTCCCCTGACTGAGTCCCTCTCAAGGCCCCTTTTTGCCATGGCCACAAGCAGTGTCCTCCAAGGCCAGGCAGACAGGAGGGAAGAGCCCCAGCTCTCACACCTCTGGCCTTCGCCAAGTTCCCCTGGGATTGCGGCCAGGGTGTTGTGCCCAGGGACTCCTCAAAGGAGGAGCTGAGATCTGAG